TCCAGGCTCTGAGCTGTCAGCACAGAGCCTGATGCAGAGCTTGACCCACGAACCGTGAGATCATGACGTGAGCTGAAGTTAGATGCTTAACTGACTGAGCCGCCCAGGCCCCGCCCCCCCTTTTTTTAATGTAAGTATCTTTGTTTTCTTAACTCCGTCAGTCTACCAAGTGCTTTTGAAATTTTATTGTCCTGTGAAATCCAAAATTCTGGGCCTGATAATCTCTCACTCTGTTCGGTCTCCTCCAAACTTCTGAACATTTCATGTGTGTTGCATGAAAGTGTGAGTGCACGTTTTGGGTGGGGAGAAGGAAAAGAGGTTGTGGGTTAATTTCTGCTCGTGGGCATTCTGCTCGGGTATGGGTACACGCTAGTTTGGCTCCAGACCCCTGTAAAATGGGCGGCAAACAACCAGGTTTCCCATATCGGGTGGGCAGACTCCTCAGAGAATGTGCTGCATAATAAAATCGTTTGTTCCAGAGAATTCTAGGTAATGCAGTCAGTGAAGCATCATCCCACAGGTGAGTCCTCGAGATAGAAATGCTGGTTCATTTAAGTATAAGCCGATGTGGAGATAAGATCACAAGCTTGGAATTCTTTGAAATATGACTGAGCAGCTGTTTCCTGGAAACATCTCCCTATATAAGAAGAAATGAGAGGGAACATCTTCCAGCCAGAAACCAGGTGACTCTTTCACCTTGGTCCTTTTTTTTTTTTTTTTCCTTAAGTGTTTGTTTATTTTTGAGAGAGCACAAGCAAGGGAGGGGCAGAGAAAGAGAGAGTGAGAGACAGAGGATCCGAAGTGGGCTCTGTCCTGACAGCAGGACACCCGGGAATCACGAGATCATGACCTGAGCCAAAGTCAGATGCTTGACCTATGAGCCACCCTCACCTTAGTTCCTAATGCTTCGGTTTTATGACTTCTTTTTAAAAGGGGGCGTAATGCAAGGTCTTAGCTGTCCTGCCACACGCCCAATAAGAATTGTTTGGGGGTTTAAGGGGAGGGCGGCTCTTGTAGTTGCAATAAACAACTCACGGTAGATACTGAAAATCGAGGAGTCCCAGTAAAGAGGGTGAAACACACATTTGAAAGATAGACACTGGGGAAGAATAAGAGTCTCTTTTCATTTGGAGTTTTGAACTTTTAGAATATGTGATAGAAAGTTGGTTTAATTTTGGGCATGGGGGGCTAGTTTCTTAGCTCTAGGAGGATCTAAGCCGTAACTTGGTGTGGTGGTAAAAGGCATGGGGTGTCCAGTCAGGCAGACCTGGGTTCAAATCCTGTTTTCCGTAGCTCCATGATATTGGGCAAATCACTTAAATTCTCTGGGCCTGTGTTTTCAGCTCTCGACTGAGAATAACAGCAGAATCCCCGTTACGTGAGGTTTCAGTGAGATAATATTTATGAAAGGCTTAACACAATGCTTGACACGGACTAGCAGCTCAAAACCCAGTAGCTGGTGTTACTACAACTAACCCTAGTGATCATAGTTAACAATAATAGCACAGACACAGGGGTAGTAGTAAACCACAGCATCAGTGGTAGTAATGCTGTTCTTTTTGGTAAGGACCTTTTTCCCCCCAGTTGAAACTGTGAAACAAAACTGTCCTACCTTTAAGAAAGGATTAAAAAGATGCTAGGGTGTCCATGAGAACCAAGAGCGAATACTGCAGCTGGGCCACAGAAAGAGTGTCCTAGTGACAGTCACCACCCCAGCGACGAGAGCTCATGTTCACGGAGTCTCTGCTTAGCCAGGCACCAAGGTAAGCATGCCACAGGGATTGTTCCCTGAATTTCTCTCAACCGCCTCATGAGATCGCCAGTCAGGCTCAGAGAATTCGTAGCCCTCCCCCAGGACGAGGCCCAGACCCTGGACAGCCCCCCGGTGGGCCTCCCTCGGCTCTGCAGACACAGGGCCATGGTGAGGGGGGGCTCTCCAGAGCTCTCCATCGTCTAAATAACACGGTGGGGGGGGGGACGGGAGGGGGCCGCAGGAAACCAGTCTGGCCCAAGTCCAAAGTTGTTGAAGCTTGGGTGATGGGATCCTGTGTGTATCTCTATGCTCCAAAAGACCACAGTATTCCAGCTAGCTCTCCTCTGGCCCTAATTCCAAATTCTCTGGCAAAAACACCTGATTCTTTCAATATGGCCAGAAGTTTGCAGAGAAGTGGGGCTGGTCTGTCACCCCTGTATGTTATTCCCCGCCCCCCACCATATGTATATGTATGTACATAATGTATGTGTATATTTATGTTAGGAGGGTAGCACCTGTAGTTTGAGTTGGAATGAGGCTCTTTCTCAGAATGATCAAGAGTCACCCGGTGGTCTAATAGATCCCCTGGCTACGTATGGCTGTTGACCACCTAAAGTGTGGTTAGTGGGCCTGAGGAACTGAGTTTTGAATTTTATTTAGTTCTAACTACATTTAAATAGCCATATATAGGACAGCACAGGTGTGAATGATAGAGGCAGAACTCTGGTAATAAAAAGGCTGGGTTTGGCTGCTGATTAATAGTCTTGTTCAGTGGGAGAGCAGTTGGGCCAAGGCTTGGTCTTCTTAGCTTCTCTGGTGTCTTTTGCCTTTTGCTGTTTGGTTCAGAATTGGGCCTTGGGAGGTGAGGTCACCTTGTGATCAGGCGACTGGTCTCCCTGTGAATGCATCTGTCGCTCGGATGTTGGGTCTCAGAGACTATTGAATTTTTCTCAAAAGATGATGCACACACGTGTGCAGCTGTTTCTAAGTGCTCAGATCCTTGCGATGCAGGTAGCTCATCTGGAGAACGGTGACGGAGACGCTGGGCGTTTTGTAGTATTGCATTTTTAAAAATAAAATTGCCTTACCAGGGTTTTTATTTTCATTTCTTTGACCCTCAGATCTGATTCCTCAATGAAATGATTTTAAGTAGAGGGCAGTAAGTTATGGGCATTATGATTAAAAGATAGAATTCTTTTTTTTTTTTTAAGTTTATTTTGAGGGAGAGAGTGAGCAGGGGAGGGGCAGAGAGAGAGAGGGGAGAAAGAGAGAGGCTCCATGCTGAAGTGCTGAGCCCAACGCAGGGCTCGATCTCATGAAGTGTGAGATCACGACCTGAGCCTAGATCAAGAGTTGGACGCTCAACCGTCTGAGCCACCCAGGCGTCCCGAGAGATATAATTCTTTAAAAATAATCTAGCAGTGTTGTTACAACGTTAATTGATGTTAATACTTTTTTTTTCCTAAGGTATTTCTTACATCTTTACCCACGTTTACTGGAATACTGGAAATTTTTTAGGAGGTGCGCCAAGTTGGAAACTTACT